TTTTTGTCTTTTTGAGACAGGGTCTCGCTATGCCGTTCAGGCTGGTCTTGAACTCATTTTGTAGCCCAGGCTGGCCTTGAGCTCACAAGGATCCTCCTGCCTCAGCCTCGGGAGTGCTGGGATTACTGGAGTGCCCCACCCCGGCCCCAAGGGCACTCTTACCTTTCTCTACCCTTTAAAAAGACCTTTTTCTGTTTCTTTTCCTTCCTTTCCCCCCTCCCCTCCTTAGTTCCCCTTTCGTTTTGAACATTTGCTTATTTCACAGTATCTATCATCCATTTTGGTCCTCATTTACACTTTCAGTTTCTCATACCAGACAAACAATGCTATATTTACATGTGTTCAGATTTATTTCACTTACAGAGTTTGGTCTCAAGGTGCATCCATTTACCTAGAAATATCTTAAGTTTATCTTTCTTTATGGCAGAATAGTACTCCACTGTATTTTTTTTTTAAAACCACATCTTCTTTATGCCTTTACTGGTTGACGGACATTTGGACTGTTTCCATGATTTAGGTACTACAAACTGCGCCTTTAAAAATGGGTGTGCATACATGGCTGTGGCATGATGCTTTTTTCCAGGAAGGTACCAAGAGGGGAAATACCTGGGTCACATGGAACCTCTAGTTTTAGTTTTTTGGAGAATCTCCACACTGATTTACCAGTGAATATTATCATTATGTATATCTAAAATGTACTGATAAAATTAACTTTAAAAAAGAAAGAATAGAAGGAAGAAAAGGAAATAAAGCTTTGTAAATTAGGGGAAGAGTGGTTGAAAGGAGGGGAGGGTAGGCTGGGCGTGGTGGCACATGCATGTAATCCCAGCACTGGGGAGGCTGAGGCGGGAAGGTCGTTGTGAATTTCAGGCCAGCCTGGGCTACAACGAGAGCTCAAGCCCAGCCTGAACTGTATAGCGAGACCCTGTCTCAAAAAGGAAAAAAAAAAAAAAAAAGAGACCAAGATCTATCAAGGTGCAAATTCCCTGTGATGAACGTGATCATTATCTAAAATGTACCCATAAAATTAATTTTTAAGAAATAAGTTAAAATTTTTTTGAGTCAGGGTGTCAGTAAGTTGCTCAGACTGCCCTCCAATTTGGGATCCTCCTGCCTTAGTCTCCCAAGTAGCTGGAATTACAGGTATGAGCCACCACGCCCGGCGCTGTGTGAATGTTCCTCTGAGGATATCCGTGGAATCCCAGGGTCACTCTGTCAGCTCCGTCAGTGGGGAGCAGGACAGCTTAAGCTGAGGCTCCTCTGCAGCCCCTCTTCTTCCCTGCTAAATGCCACGGTTGCTGCAAGGTTCACCCGAGTCCGACAGCCTCCGAGAAGCCTGTTTTTAACTACTTTAAGTGAATCTTCTCTCTCTCTTCCTGAGGAAATGAAATAAATATAATAACTGAAAAGAGACATTTCAGATGATATGATTGTACAAAATAAAAATCATTTTTAAATTACTACAATATTTAGCAATATAGTCAATTACTAAAGCAATATACAAAAAGAACAGCTTTTCTAGGTACAAACAATTGTTGGCTAGTGTCTCTAAAGCACGAAAAATGTTTCAAAATAGAAATTTAAAATTGAACTATGCACAAGCAAAACTTTTGAAACTACCGAGTGTGATGGTTGATACATTGTGTCAACTTGAGAAGTTTAGACGTTTAAGTGAGTCAGCAGAGGGCCAGGGTGCTCACTTTGTGAACACCCTCATCCTGTGCAAGGGGAGGGCCTGGAGATGGTGTGAGTCCTGCACCCACCCTATGGGGGGCAAGTAGCCTGCACACAGTATAAGGGAGGAAAAGAGGCTTGCTTTTTCCCCCCCTTTTGCTCTTTTTTTTTTTTTTTGCGGTACCAGAGATGGAACTGAGGAGCTCGCGCTTGACAGGCAGGTGCTTCTGCCACTGAGCGATATCCTCAGCTCCCCCTTTTGCTCGTGCTGTCTTCTGCCGCCTTGAACTGTTGCCCCTGTGCCATGCCACCCTGCCTTGGTTATGGACTGACCCCTCCACAGACTGTAAGCTAAATAAAACTTTCCTTCCTTAATTTTGGGCATTGGGTACTTTGTCCTAACAAGGAGAGAAAAGTAACCAAGACGCTGAGGTATAATTGGTATATAGATAGCTGTGCACATTTCAGTGAGTCTGGGGATAAGAACAGGCCTGCGAAGCTACCACTACCCCCAAGGCCATAAATACGTTCAACTCCCAGAAGTTTCCTCCCACCGTTGCTGTGAGTTTTGTTTTTGTGTGTGTGTTAAGAACGCTAACCATAAAATCAAGCCTCTTAGTAGTCTGAATCCATACAGTGTTATCAGCTACAGGCACTGTGCTGTGTAACTAGAACACCACCTGTTTGCATAACTGGAACTTTGTACCCTCACCAACACCTCCCCATGCCTCCCTCCACCAGCCGTGGAAACCATCGGCTGGATCATTTTAGATGCCACATTTCAGGGGAATCGTAGTTTGTTACTCTGTGTGTGGTATATTTCATTTAGTATACTACAGTCTAGACCCATCTACATTGTTCAGATGTCAGTTTTCTTCTTGTTAAATAAGGCTGAATTCCCAGGAGTGGTGCTGCATGCCTGTAATCCCAGCACTCCAGAAGCTGAGGCTGGAGGAGAGCTGTGAGTTGGAGGCCAGCTTGAACCAAACAAAATGAACAGGCTGGATTGTATTCCATAGTGTGACACACTGTCTTTATCCACTCCTCTGTCAGAGCACATTCAGTCTGTTTCCATATTTTGGCTGTTGTGACTAATGCCGCAATACATGAGGGAATGCAGTATCTCTCTGAGAACCTGACTTAAATTCCTTTGGGTAGATTCCCAGACGCAGGATGAGCGTTCTAGTTTTAATTTTTTAAGGGGCCTCTAAAACAATTTTCCATAATGGTAGTGACAATTTGCACTTCTCTAAGCAGAATAGGAAGTCTCTTTTTTCCACATTCTCATCAGCACTTGTTTGTTTGTTTTCTGAGACACGGTCTCCCTTCACTATGTGTGTCAGGCTGGCTCTGAACTCACTTGAAGCCCAGACCTGCCTTGAGCTCACACTCGCGTGTGACCCGGCTGTCTCAGCCTCCCGAGGCCAAAGAGTTTTGGGGTTTTTTTTTCCTGTGTTTTTATTCATAAGTTTTATGGTTTCAAGTCTTGGACTTTAGGACTTCATCAATTTTCAGGTAACTTCTGTATATAGAATTAGGGTTTTTCGCATGTGGATATCCTATTTCCTCTCTCTCTTTTTTTCTTTCTTTCTTTTCCTTCCTTTCTCCCCCCCACTCTTTCTTTTTCTTTCTTTTTCTTTCTTTCTTTCTTTCTTTCTTTCTTTCTTTCTTTCTTTCTTTCTTTCTTTCCTCCTCTTTTTTTCTTGTCTTCTTGAGATAAGGTCTCACTATGCAGTTCAGGCTGGCCTTGAGCTCACTTTGTAGCCC